TCCGATCCAAGTACTAACCGAGCCCAACGTTGCTTAACTTGGCAGATCGGACGGGATGCCGTGTTTTTTTTGGTATGGCCGCTGCGGCTGTGAGAGACGAGTGAAATATGCGGCCTCCAGCGAACACGATACGCAGCCCTCGCAGAAACGCGAGACGACACGACTGTGTGCACCTTTCGTGTGTCTCGTAGGAAAAAGCGGCACCTGGCGAACGGCTCGTCCACATAGGGCGACAGCGACCTCACTCGTCGGTTTAATTACCCAAGTTTGAGGTTAGCATAAACCCCGAGACCTTCAGAAGGTGTCTCGACAAAATTTTGGAACGCGTCCCCGTTAGGGGATGCAAAAGAAGCAAAAGTAAAAGACAACTAAAGTTGGCAACAGCAGAAATCTTTTTACATTATTAATTGTGTATTTATTTATTGAATTTTATTGAAATTAAACATTTATTTATTGAGTTGGTACTTGTTAAAGATCAGTGCTTTCCCGGGATCTTGTAGAACGAGGGTGTAGTTTGTCCAGTAACACCTGCTGATCCCTTTTTCCCGCGTTTGGCGCCAAATTTGACAAAAAGAAATGGCGATTTTTCAACCATCGGAATCAATGTTTTTTCTTTTTCTCGATTTAGTTTTTTCCTTCAAAGAAACTTCAAAATTCATTTTTTTTTCGGAGAATGATGGCGATCGGAAGCGAGAATCTCCCAGCGAACGAAGCAAAGAAACCAAAGTTGGAAGTCGAGCAACAGGTAAAATATTTTGATATTAATACACCCATGCACAAAAAAAATGTCACGTCGTTTTTACAAAACTTTACGCCTAAATTTGACCTACTAAACGTGTTCCAAATTCTATGCTGTCAAAAGGTTTTAGATAGCAAAAAGCTTCTACTTTCTTGTGAAAAAGTGTTCAAGTTCAAGCTAAGGGAGGCCCGACAAAATATTAGATTTTTGTTTTTATCAATTTTTATTTTATGTGTGACATTTTTTTTGTGCACCCGTTTTTGGTGTTCTTCCGGTATTTATTGAAAAATAAAAATTTAAACAAATTGCTGGAACTTGAACACTTTTTCACAAGAAAGTAGAAGCTTTTTGCTATCTAAAACCTTTTGACAGCATAGAATTTGGAACACGTTTAGTAGGTCAAATTTAGGCGTAAAGTTTTGTAAAAACGATGTGACATTTTTTTTGCGCATGGGTGTATTAATTTTTTTGACTTTAGAATTTGACTGTGCGTTTCGCTAAACTCAACGAGAATGCGCACGAACCAACGTATGGCTCAATATGTGCGGCTGGTGCTGATCTCTACAGCGCTGAGGATTGTGTGATTCCCGCTAAAGGTTTGTTTATTTGAAAATTTGTTGCTAGAATAGTTTTTATTTAGGAAAATATTGTGTATCAACGGGGATTCAAGTCGAACTACCTTACGGCTACTATGGACGTGTTGCACCCCGGTCAGGGCTTGCCGCAAAGCATTTCATTGGTAACGATTGTTTGAATAAATTTGACGAATGTCTTCAAATCCTAGATGTGGGCGCAGGAGTGGTTGATTCGGATTATCGGGGGGAATTGAAAGTTCTGCTTTTCAACTTCGGTGACGCTGATTTTACGGTTAGTTTTTGCAAATTTTTCTATTTTCTCGTGAGAATTGTTGAAAAGAACTAGAATTTTGGGGATTAGAAACAGAATTTAAGTAACAGTTTAGAAAACGGAATTAGAATTGCCCTAAGCCTAACGATCTGATACGAGCATACCATTGTCGCAGAATTTTGGAAAGAACTAAAACTTGCTTCAGTATCCAAAATCCAAAGTCTCATCGTTCAACTTATATTAGGTTGGCCCCAGTCTTTAGACACTTTTTTCTCCTAGCATTTATACATGGAAAAGTTCACCAATTTACCTACAATTGGCTCCATTAGAAAGACTTACTATTTTTCTACAAAATAGCGTTCAAATCTTATGAAAATGTTTTGTCAATGGTTTTTTTATGGAAGTGCGAAGTCGGGTAGTCAAAAAAAAGGCAATTTAGGCGCTTTGGTCAACAGAAACCTATGTTGCTATCAATAGATAAAAGTTAGAGAGCAAAAAGTTAGGTATATAGCCGAATTTTCAGGAAAATCTCTTCAGCTCTTCAAGCTTTTTATCGAATTTTACGAAAAAACGAGTCTTTGTACTTGAATTTGCTTGCAAAACAGACCCAAATCGGCGTGAAATTATAGAAAAATGTATAATAAACATTTTATTTTTTATTTAGAGCCAATTGTAGATGAATTGGTGAATTTGTCATTTATAAACGCTAGTAGAAAAAGAGTGTCTAAAGACTTATGGGCCAACCTAATAAATTCCCAGCATACCGTAGAACTGCCCTTTTTAGAGCTTTGAGTTTCTTAGTTTTCTTGACAGCTATTCTGCCAACTATACAGAATACTGTAGTAGTTGTTAATTGGGACTGGTTTAAAGTGTAGCCGGGCTAGACTTTAAGGCGCCTATCCAACTGGATCATTACCTCTCTTCGCAATCGAAGCAATCAGAGTTGTAAGTATTGTAACTAAGAATTTATATGGAAAGTGGTTTAAGATTTTCGCCAATTCATTTGTATGTTTTTAGGTAAAGCAAGGCGACCGTGTTGCCCAATTCATTTGTGAGCGAATCGCTCACGTGAAATACCAAGAAGTCGGCTCTCTGACGAATACGGATCGTGGGGATGCAGGTTTCGGATCGACCGGAAAATAAGTTACCGTTCTCTATATTAGTAGTATTCTCTCTAATAGTAGTGCACCCCGCCGAGCCGAGTTGATGACTATTTTACGGCTTCTAAGTTTTTGCAGAAGCTCAACACTCTAATCCCCCGACAAGATCTCATCGTCAGCTACATTTTCCGACCCCACATCGATAGGTTCTGATAAGCGATTCTCGAGATTTCGAGTAATTTAGGCGACGCTCATGGTGCACTACTATTATAGAGAATACGGTATCTACTGTTTAAAATGATCTCTATTTGCAATATTTTCTCAATATCATATCATTAGTGCTTTTTGTGAACAGATTTTATGTTGATTATTTGTCAATAAAATTCTATTTCTAAAACCAGCTTTACAAGTCGTTGCAACACCATTTGATAAGTTCAGTACTTAATTATTAGACTCTTTTTAGAAGAATATAAAACTGTTATTTATGCAAAAGATGTACAGTGAATCACAGAGAATACCAGTGAGGTGAATGCTTTGATTTGAGATTTGTTTCCAGAAACACTGGAAAACATTTATTGTCGGCCGAAGAATGGGAAACTGTTGAAGCCTTGAGAGCCTGAAATTGTAATTTTAGTACACTTTGAAAGTTTACATTAAGCTATTTTTGTACTCACCTCGTCCACCAAATCCTCCTTGGTTTCCGCCGAAATTTTGTTGTCCGCTTAGTCCGTTGTTACCGAATCCGCTTTGGCCACCTAACAACTTGGATTTGTGAGATCTTCTAAGACATCACCTTTGACTTTAACTTTATAATTTTTACTAGAATTTATTAGAATTAGAACTTTTTATTTCCCCTACCTGGAAAACCGCTTTGCCCACTTGTTCCACCGAATCCTTGGAATCCTCCTAGAAATGTGTTCCTTTCAAGATTATGAATCGAATACAATATTTTATAGAAAGCAATTCAAGTTCAAACCTTGGAATCCACCTTGTCCATTTGGTCCATTTTGTCCATTTTGTCCTTGTTGTTGTCCGCCAAAGCCTTGGAATCCACCTGAATGGATTTATAAGCAAAACAAGGACATTTTATTCTCAAAATGAATTCTCAAATTCTCAAAATGAAAAGTAAGTTTTATAACAATTTACATTTAGAAGTCCTTCCCACTGACTTAATGCTCACCTTGGAATCCGTTTTGTCCGTTTTGACCGAATTGGAATCCTCCTAAATTGGAGCGTTGAAAGATGAGGATGCAAATTTTTGATAGAACAACATTTTAATCAATTTTCAAAACCTTAATCATTTGGGTATTCAAACCTTGTCCTTGTCCGAATCCTCCATTTTGTCCTCCTCGTCCTCCTTGTCCTTGTTGACCTTGTTGTCCGAATCCACCGAATCCACCTTGGCCGTTCATTCCTAAAAAAGCGTTTTTTTGAAATCCTACTGATTGATTGAAACTTTAAAACAAAATCTAGATATTTCGTTGCACTTTGAAACTTTCCACTACCTTGGAATCCTCCATTTTGACCGTTTTGCTGTCCAAAGCCTCCACGTCCTTGGTTTCCGCCTGAAAACATTTTAGCCTAGAGGTTAAAACTTGAAAGCTTTTTGGTTTCAAATTATTTTCAGAAAACTTTAAAGTTTCCTTTATTTGAACCTTGGAATCCTCCGCCGTTTTGTTGATTTTGTTGATTTTGTCCATTCGACCCGCCGAATCCACCTGAACAAACACAAAAAACTCGATGGAATGAAATCATTTCAACGTTGGAAAAGTAAATGAACTAGATTAGATACAATGTAGTACAAGTTTCAAAAAGCTCTAATCTTTGCTCAGGAGATCCGAGGAACCATGAGAACCAACCTTGTCCGCCCATTTGTCCCTGTCCGTTTGGTCCGCCGAAGCCACCTTGTCCCTGGCCATTCATACCTCCTAAAATATTCATCAAGTTATCATTGATTTTAAATGCAAAGCTGAATTTCAAAATATGAATTTGAACCTTGGAATCCTCCATTTTGTCCACCATTTTGTCCACCGAAACCGCCTCGACCACCTTGGAATCCTCCTGAATTTTGAGGGATGGCTCTAATTTTTTTTCTGATGTAAAAATTATGGAAACTTTTATAATAGGTATTTAGTAAATGTTTGATTATAAAGAACCTTGGAATCCTCCGTTTTGTCCGTTTCCATTGGGCTGGGGTTGGTTCTGTCCGTTTGGTCCACCGAATCCTCCTGGAAAATTTGGAATTTCTTTTGAATATCCTAGCTTAGAAATTCTTGGCTTAATTTAGTGTAAAGACTGGTGCTTTTTAAAATCAGCATAAGCCACAATTTTGAAAACAGACCTTGTCCTCCATTTGGTCCATTCTGTCCATTTGGCCCGTTTTGCCCACCGAAACCGCCTGGCCCACCTAAAAGTAAAGATAAAGTGGAGCACTGAACAACACTGTAAGAATGCTGTAGTTCTACGAATTAAAGTTTTAGTTTTATTCTAAAGCCAAAAGCAAAAGCAGACCTTGTCCTCCGTTTTGTCCATTTGGTCCAGTCTGTCCGTTTTGTCCGTTTTGCCCATTTGGACCATTTGGCACGTTCTGTCCGCTTGATCCATTGGGTCCACCGAAGCCGCCTGGTCCACCTAAATGACCTACAGATTTGCAGCAAATTATGCACTAGAAATTATCCTAGAGTCCTGTGAACAATTCAAGGAAGTAAAACGTCAAACGGGTTTGAAAGTTCAACCCTGATCCACCATTCTGACTGCTTAAACCAGCTGGGCCACAAGGCAAGTTAAAACTTTATGTCTAATGCGGGTATGACCGATCAAGCCCAATGTATACAAAGCACATTCTATATCATTTTTCACAATTTGAACCCCAACTGTTTCCATTTCCAAACCTTGTGCTCCAATTTGAACGCTGCTTTGCCCAGAGACGCCGTTTGGTCCAGTTCCCTGATTTGGGTAGTTGTTGTTACCAAATGGGCTAAAATTTTTCAAATATGGATTCGAAATTCACGAGACATTCAAACTCTAAGAAACTATATCAATTGAATAACTTCTTTTGTAATATTGTAAACTCACAACGCTAAGAGAACACCAAAAAGTGCTGAAGCGAGGAGGATCGTCTTCATCGTAAAACAAATTCAGACTAAATGTGCCCAACCTTTGAATAACTTTTCTCTTTATATATCCAAATAATTGCTGTCGATGTGGATGAGTCGATGATTCTCTAAAAAAAAACGATTTCAATATTTCCCTTTTCATTTTTTCGAACTAGCAACGTCCAGCTGGCCACACATTGACTTTGGGGGAATTTTTAGGTGATTCATTTGGTAGTATTTGTTTTATAGTCCATTTTATGTATTCAGAATGACCCCTTTAAATCGTGTTACTTTACGGAAATGTTTGAGAAAGTTTGGATTTTAAAATGAGAAGTGTTCGAAGACTTTTGGAAGTTTAAAAGCTGTCTAATGTTGGGTCTAGACCAGTTTTGTTGAAAACATCTTTACTTAAAGGTTAAGAAGTGAACCAAAGATTCGATTGGCAAAAAAAGTCTTCTAAAAAATCTTCCTGCCAAAAACAAAAACAAAAAATCTTCTAAAGCTAAAAACTCTTTCTTTATCGCCAGATTTGTTTGAGTTTGGGTTGATTCTTTACTATTAGTGATTCGGTATTTGGTGGTTGGTACAGTGTGAGACCAAAAAGGGAAAGCGGGTTTCAAAAAACACTTTCAAAGAATAAAGCTAAACCATTTCTTTGCCTAAAAAGAGGTAACACTCTGTAAAAAACAAGTTACTGGATCACGAACGGCTTTTGACTGACTATGATTAGCTTGAACTAAACTAGCTTGAACTAAACTAAGGGTTAAGAAGTGAACCAAAGATTCGATTGGCAAAAAAAAGTCTCCTAAAGCCAAAAACTCTTTTTTTTAATCATTTGGCGTCGACTTCCCCTTGCGTTTGTGTTTGATTCTTTACTATTAGTGATTCGGTATTTGGTAGTTGGTACGGTGTGAGAGCAAAGGAGAAAGCGAAAGCCGGGCTTCAAAAAACTTTCAAAGAATAAAGCTAAGCCATTTCTTTGCGTAAAAAGAGGTAACAATTTGTTAAAAAAAACAATTTATTGAATCACTAACAGCTTTTGACTGACTATTAGTAGCTTGAACTACAGTAACGGTCAAAATTATATCCCTCTCGAAAAAGTGGTGCTGTTTAGAGGGCTTGTAACTTTAGATGTAGACATTATATTTATAAGTGCTATATAACATCTGAAAGCTCTCATTGAGCCCTACAAGAGGTGCTATAACACTTTGAGGAATACGGTAGTTTTATTCAACTTTTAGGGGCTTGAATCAAAGCAAAAATTTTGTGTGATTTTCAGGGCAACTTTTGACTAACAAAGATGCCTCAAATCGTTCTGAAACCATGTTTTTTCGGAAAGAATACAAAAAATGATTCAGGAAAAGTTGTTTTTGACAAGTTATAACAGATTTCCAGTGTCTCCAATGTCTCCAATGTCTCCAATGTCTCCAGTGTTTCCAAGATGATTCCAAGATCCAAGAAAGGGAGCATCATTCTCAAGCATATCACAAGTGCACTAGTTTCAGCTCGTTATCTCAAATTTAATAAATGAAAGAAATAATGAAAAATCAACAAAAGACAAAGCAATCAACAAAAGAGCAAAGCAAATATAAAAAACGATGTCTACATCTAAAGTTACAAGTTAAAACACGACCACTTTTTCGAGGGGGATATCATTTTGACCGTTACTGTTCATCGTTAACTTCGTAGCTTCCGTTACTGTTTATCGCCACAATTCATCGTTAACTAGAGGTGCTTTCTGGATTGATTTCATTTCTTAAAATTATCGGATTTAGTCGATACGATTAGCAGCTTTAAATTGAAAAGTTGTCTTCAGATTTTTGTAAGCTTTTTAGGAAAATGTTCTTTTGCATTTTATGCTAAATAAAACAATATTACGAACCAAAATTTATTGAATAAATACCAGAAAACATAAAGAAAACATGAAATTCATTTTAGTAGTGAAAACAAAACGATGAAGAGGTTTATTGTGATCCTAGCACTCCTTGGAAGCCTGGAAATTGTATGATCAATTCGTGAAATTGTCAGAATCATGAAATTTGGGTTAAATTTACCCGAAAAGTTGAAGATTTTTAGAAGAAAGAACTTCTTTTGACTCACCTTGTCCACCGAATTGTCCTTGATTATTGCCAAAGTTCTGACCGTTTTGGCCATTTTGTCCGTTTGAGAGTCCATCATGTCCTTGTCCATTCAATCCACCTGAAATATCAATTCTTTTAAAAACTAAATAAGCTTTTCCATGATAATGTATTTTCTTATCTAAATTATCTTAAAAACCAGATTTCTTGTTTAAACCTTGGAATCCGTTTTGTCCATTCTGTCCATTCTGTCCTCCTTGTCCATTCAATCCACCTGCAAATTTCTCAGCTTTCAGCTTTTTAAAACAAAATGAATAGCTAATAAGATATTCAGTTAATCCGTTTATTTGTCATTTTAATAAAAAACAAACCCTGGAATCCGTTCTGTCCATTTTGTCCATTTTGGTTAGAGAATCCTCCTTGTCCTTGTCCGTTCAATCCACCTAAAATTCATAAATCTGTAATTAAGGCCATAAATATATAATAAAATATTCAGTTAAACTATTTCCTTTTGATATTTACAAGGACAAACCCTGGAATCCGTTCTGTCCTCCATTCTGTCCATTCTGCCCATTTGGTCCATTTTGTCCACCAAATCCTTGTCCGCTGAAGCCTCCTAAACAATTTTTGATTGAATGTGTTTGTTTTAAAAAGATTGTAGCCTGTTTTTCACTTTAACCGTACGGAATTGTTAATAACAAACCTTGGAAACCGCCGTTTGGTGCTCCAGTTTGTCCATTTTGTTGCCCATTTTGTTGCCCGCCTTGTCCCTGTGATCCACCTGACAATAAAATGATGATTGTAAACTTCAGTATTAAAGTTTTTTATGTAAATTTTGATCTTACAGGTTTTCTAGAACTTTCAAATCTTGTCTAAGCATCGAATTCACACCTTGTCCTCCATTTCGTCCGTTTTGCCCGTCGAATTGTCCATTACTCTGTCCAAATCCTTGATTTTGACTATTTCCATTATTTGAGGTGGGGCTGAAAAAAGATTTCCTTTAATCTAATCTCTTTTTAATTTCAAAATCGAATCTTCAAAACTCACAAAGCCATATAAAAAGCAAAGAAAGCCGAAATGAGAATGACTGTCTTCATCGTTGATAGGGAAAGGTGTACTGTAGAAGGTATTGAGTACTTCTGATCTTTTCCCAATATCCCCATTTATTTATATCAATTTTCTTGTCGTTGATCTCTTTTTTTGTTCTCTTTTTGATCCGATGATTCCCTCATCAAAAGATTTGAATATTTCTCTCACTCTCTCTTCCATTTCCTCCCAACAGCTGCCCACACATTTGACTCTTTTCTCTTTTCCAGTTCAAGAGTTGATTCATTCATTTTCTATCGAGAACTTTGTATTTACTGATGTTCATGCCTAGTCAGGGAATCTGTTCGATTAGATTCATTTGCAATAGAGAAGGTTTTGGTTTAACTTAACATTTCTGTACACGCTTATCTTGCTAATAAAAATTCGATGAATAGAAGAGACGAGTCACCCGTTTTCGAGCACTTTCCTCATTTTTCTCTTTGGAAATCTTTGAGCTTTTGAATCTCTTTGAGCACTCTTTGAAAATCGGTGTCTATGTTTTCTTCTCACAACGAAGTCGTGTTAATAGGTCATGCTGGATTTGGGAAAGCCTATTTGTTAAAGAAATATCATCCGTAAGTGTTTCGATCGTGTTGCTATAAGTTGAGCCTTAAAAGATAAATAGAAATTGGTTAGCACCGTATAGGGAACTAAGTGCATAGTTGAAACTGGTGAACGAAAGCTCAATTCCAGAGAAATTGTGATGAAAGAAATTGATCGTGGCCAAGACCTTAAACAACAATTGAAATAGAGAGCAGAGACGCGAGACAACACGACTGTGTGTACTCTTCATGCGTCTCGTAGGAAAAAGCGGAATCTGGCACACGGCCGGTCTATATAGCACCACAGAGACCCCACTCTTCGGTTTAATTACCCAAGTTTGAGGTTAGTATTAACCCCGAGACCTTCCAACAGTGTCTTGGTAAAATTTTGGAACGCGTCTCCGCTGGGGGATGCACAAACAAACTAAGAATGTGAAGTGATATAAAGCTTTGATGCTCTATTCCATTTTATCGTGGTTCATCAAGAAATGTGTCGACTCTTCACTGCACTTTCGGTGAAACGGTGGCGCGGAACCACACGCGAGATCGTTCACTATATGGTGGAGAAAATTTTGTAAAATGCGGGTTCTCCTAGTGCTGAAAATTGATTCCCAGCTTCATTCTGTGGTTTTCAGATGAGATTTGTGAGATTTCGACTAGTTGGTTTTCGGGTTCCCAAGAATTTCGGACCATGGGGATGCGTTCTCAGCTCACAAAGGTGAGATAACGAAGAAGAAATCCAAGGAGCTTCAGATCGTGTGCCTGGATTTCGGAGAACAATCAACAAACACCATTACGATTTATCATTTGAAAAATTCTGGCATTCATACTTCCAGTGAGATTTTACAGGACTACCGGGTCGAGGTTGACAATCATCCAAGCTTTCGTGAGTCGACTCTTGTGAATGGACGCATTATCCTGCTAAAAATTTGTCACGATTGAGTTTTGAACAAGAAAAGGCACGAGACAATCATCCAGAAAATTGATATAATATAACTGATTGATATAACTGACACGAACTTCAAATTGACCACACCCTGAGAAGAAAAACCGGCTCAAACCATAACGTTCTCCTTTGTGCAAAAATTGATTCCAAGTCTCGAAGCCGATTCACAAAAATGCAGAAAGCTTGCGGCACTCGGGATTAAACTATGAACAATGAGATGATAGTCCAACTCATTTAACACACATAGCCCTTGTGCATCCCCTAACGGAGACGCGTTCCAAAATTTTGTCGAGACACCTTCGGAAGGTCTCGGCACTGAACTTTAACAAGTACCAACTCAATAAATAAATGTTTAATTTCAATAAAATTCAATAAATAAATACACAATTAATAATGTAAAAAGATCTCTGCTGTTGCCAACTTTAGTGGTCTTTTACTTTTGCTTCTTTTGCATCCCCTAGCGGAGACGCGTTGCAAAATTTTAGGCGGCAAATAGGCGGCCTCCAGCGAACAAGAGAGAGCATCAGCCCTCGCAGAGACGCGAGACGACATGACTGTGTGTACCTTTTGTGTGTTTCGTTTCAAAAAGCGGGATCTGGCACACGGCTCGTCCACATATTTCGACAGGAACCTCATTCTGCGGTTTAATTACCCAAGTTTGAGGTTAGCATTAACCCCGAGACCTTCCAACAGTGTCTTGATAAAATTTTGGAACGCGTCTCCGATAGGAGATGCACAAATGATCGAAAACGGAAAGAGAGCCGAAATTTACAAAGAGATTCATTTCCATGTCTCTACTAGGGGATGCACAAATGGACTAAAAAATGTAAAGTGAGCGTCGGGTCGGCAAAACTCTAATCAAAGATCTTTTGGTAAATTTGAACAAGAGACGTGAAGATCTTCAAGAAGGAATTATGCATCATTTC